TCCCATGCTCACACTCTGTCTCTCTCTGTCTCTAAATAATAAATAAAAGTTAAAAAAATTAAAAAAAAAGAATTAATTAGTATTGATATCCCTACTGCCTAACAAAATGAAATAGTAGCATTTATTTCTCTCAGTAAGCTGGAATGATCTCCACACTGTGAACTCTACTGGACAATTCTTGACTCTCCTATTTCTGGAATAATCATATAACTTATCATCTAAGCCAAGGAATGTTTGAGATTTAAAAGGGCACTTAACTGGGGCACGTGGGTGGCTAAGGCAGTTAAGTGTCTGCCTTCAGTTCAGGTCATGATCACGGTTGGTGAGTTCCAGGCCCGCATCGGGCTCTGTGCTGACAGCTCGGAGCCTGGAGCCTGCTTCAGATTCTGTGTCTCCCTCTCTCCCTGCCCCTCCTCCGCTCACTCTGTGTCTCTCTCTCAAAAATAAACATTAAAAAAAATTTTAAAGGGCACTTAACTAATTAATACCTCGTGATTTTTTGAAATATTAATATGTTGGATGACAAATTGATTTTTATTATAATGGTGAACTGGAAAAATAGTTTAAAAATATTTTCAAAGAGGTTATAATCTACAAAGAGACACAAATTCATGTCTAAAAATTAGACATAATTTTAATGAACATTAAAACAACGGTGTTATGGGGCACCTAGATGGCTCAGTTGGCTAAATGTCTGACTTTTTTTTTTTAATTTTTTATAAAGTTTTTTTAAGTTCATTTATTTTGAGAGAGAGAGAGAGAGAGAGAGAGAGAATGAGTGGCAGAGAGAGAAAGAGAGAGAATCCCAAGCAGACTCTTCACCATCAGCACAGAGCCCGACAAGGAACTTGAACTCACAAACCGTGAGACCATGACCTGAGCTGAGATCAAGAGCCAGAAAACATTTGACTCTTGATTTTGGCTCAGTTCATGATCCCACAGTCATGAGATTGAGTCTCGTGACCTGCTTGGGATTCTCTCTGTCCTCTCTCTCTCTCTGCCCCTCCCCAACTGTCTTTTGCATACGCACTTTCTCAATATAAGTAAACATTGAAAAAAACCCACACCCAACTGTGTTGTATCACATATGTGATTGGCCAAGAAAATTGGCTAATATCAATTGCTATTGAGGAAAGGGAAAGAAGGAACTTTAATGTACTGTCAGCAAGAGTATAAATTTTGCAGAACAATTGCACACATTTAGTGTTGACTATTTGCATAAATATTTGCATAAATTATGCTTTTTCCCCCCTCTCATCTAATTCTCAACTCCAAAGTGTGACTGCAGTAAAGGTAACTCTGATATCTTGATTCTTTTTTTTTTTTTTTTTTTTTTTTTTTTTTTTTTTTAATTCTGAGCTGCAGTGTTTCATCTTTGGCTGGAAATTTTCTACATTTTCATTGTTCCTTCAAACTTTTTATCTAAAATAAGATGGGGCGCCTGGGTGGCGCAGTCGGTTAAGCGTCCGACTTCAGCCAGGTCACGATCTCGCGGTCCGTGAGTTCGAGCCCCGCGTCCGGCTCTGGGCTGATGGCTCGGAGCCTGGAGCCTGTTTCCGATTCTGTGTCTCCCTCTCTCTCTGCCCCTCGCCCATTCATGCTCTGTCTCTCTCTGTCCCAAAAATAAATAAACGTTGAAAAAAAAAATTAAAAAAAATAAAATAAAATAAGCCTACTCTCCTCACTCCTCCCTCTGAGTCTGGCGCACCTCCTATGAGCTTCCTGAGCATCCCTGTCATTAAGGTGACTAACACATTCTGGTTTGCCCAACCATTGCCCCGTTGTAATTACTAACAGTATCTCCTTTATCGTCTCATGGATCCCAGAGCATCATGTGCTTGTCTACCTATCATGATGCTGCGATTGTCTGTGTCCTTTGTATGTCCCCCTAGATGACAAGTTCTAACACTTAGTAGGAACTTAATAACTCTGGTGAATGAGGGAAGCGTTGAATAAAATAGGGAGTCTTCTGTGACAGAAACTAATTGCAGCGAACCTTGACTAGCGCTGGCCATCAGTTCACAATGGGCTTCCTTATCTCTAACGAAAGGGGTCAACTCTCCCTCCAGCCCACAAGTGCTGGGAACTGATGAGGATTCGGCCACAGCTTCAGCAAATCTGTGACTCAGTCCTGATCCTTTAGGCCAGAAGCGGTGTGGGGGGATGCTGGTGTGGGGTGGACTGTATTGCTATGTCTCCCCCTTGTGGCTGTTGTGGGGAACTCATCACAAAATCCTTTCTGGTTCTAAGGAGGTGGTTCTGTAGATCTGAACCCAGATTTCATTTGAGTTTGAGATAGGGTCTGGGCATCAGTATATATTTTTAAAGCCCCCCAGGGAACTCGAATATTTATTTCACCTTGGGAATACGAGCAGGTGTGGGCCCACACAGCTCTTGTCTCTGTCGGAGGGTGGCTCCTACCTTGAGCTAAAACCCTTGCCCACACCCTAGGAAAGGGACAGCTTCCCACCTCATCAAACCGAATGAGACACCCTCAGCGCTTCATAGCTTTAGAGACACAAGTCTGTGGAACGTGTCTTGCCATACTGCTACGTTATGAACCCTTCAGGTGACACAAGACAAAAGTGCAGGTTCCTTGATGGATTGTCTGAATTTTATTCATTTCCAGGAGGTAGAAACAACAACTCAGGAAGAGACGTAACTTGCTGTAATCGTGGTCCCTCAGCCCCCATATGCACCCTTTACCAGCACATCGGCTCGCGTGGCCAGAATGAGTGTCCTGGACAGGCCTGGGACCACACCGGCCCGTATTGTAGAGCACCACCAGTCCCTTAAGCCCGAGAATGGTCTGTTCCTCTTGAGTTCTCCAGAATTCAGATACGCTCAGTCAAAAGAAGACATGAGAGAAGAAACACGGGGAAACTGGACTTTTTTCGTCTTTAGGCCTGAGGAAAAGGAACGCTCCAGCCCAGCAACAGTGCCTTTCGGGGAAGGGTGTGAGCTGAGGGCTCTCTGCTTTCCCGCTTGAACCCGGTGCCTGGATGGTGCAGAACAGGACGTCAAATGTCATTTGAAGGTCAGCCTGAAAGTCCGCACGGCACAGCCGTCCTCCTCAGTGAGGTCTTGAGCCCAGGCCTGGGAATTTTGAGCGGATAGTCTCTTCTTCCCCACTTTGTTTCCTTCCTTCCACCGGCTGGGGTTCGGCCACGGGAAAAACCCAGGTGTTGGGAACCGATCTGCTAGAACAGTGTGAGTCGTAGTAAGGGACCGAGTGCTCATAACCTCAGAGTTTACAAATCCCTGATAGTAGCTCCCTTAGTTTTGGAGAATAGACAGCTAACGAGCCTCAGTTTATACCAGGGTGGTGTAGCGAACTTTGTTTTTTCTTTTTCTGCCTTCCCAGAATTGAATCCCACTGCTTGCATTTGCAGAATTCCTAACTCCTAAGAGGGAGAGCCCACCAAGCACTACGAAAATGGAACGTTCCAGATACTCAATTCCCAGTCTCCCTTGGAGGTAGGACATGGGCGTGTGACCTAGAACTGGCCACTCAGGCCCCAACTCTGAACTAGAAACAAGAAAGGAAGAGACAAGGAGGAGGTCACCTTGGTGCAGACGGGGCACCGGCCGTTATTGGGTTGCTGAGTCCAACTGAGGCAGGGGAGGGGGTGGCGGAGTCGGGGTCTAGTCCCATCAGGACGAGAGCAGTGCCCCTGGCACTCAGCGTCCTTGAGCTGAACAGTCGGTGACCCTCGTTATATGGTTGTGAGATCGCTCGCTGGTGATTTCCTAACCCACGTTCACTAAGGTCATAGAAGAACCCATCAGAAAAAAAGAGCTTAAACTGAAGAAGGCCTGTCTGAGAGCTAGAAGAGGAAGAAAATAGGACTTTACTGAAAGAGACACTTTCTGTCTCTGGCCTGCAATTGAAGTCAGGAAGCGTGGAATTACTTGTAGCTGTTGGGTCACAATATGTTCATTTCCCACTTCGGGATAAATGTAGCGTGAGGAGGGATGGGGCACGGGTGCCTGGTAAGGACCCTGTGAGTATAAAACGGGTTCAGAACGTGGCGAGAGGGTCTCTGCTGAGGCTCGACACTGCTGTTCAATGGAGCCAACAGAGAAATCGGGATTCAAAAATCATTTGGAGAAGTGAAAGATCAGCCTGGGGCCACCTCTGATAATTCTGAATTCCTCCGTAACGGTGTCATCGCAAACTCTCGCCACGTTTCTTTAAACCTAATGCCATCTGCATGGGACATTTTTTCAGAGTTCTTAAATACTTAAATATCACATATATAAGTATATATATATATATATATGTTCTATAATATTATACTTAAATACCCTGTAGTTTTTTGAGACTCTTGGGTGATTTTCCTTCCATTATTCAAAGCTCAGAGACTTCACAGTCTTGCTGTTGGTTTATTGACCCTTCAGCTTCTGGGTTTTGCAAATAAAGTACTGACTCGATTAGCTTCTTTCATAGAATAATCCCAGAGTGTTCTACCTATAATAAGGAGTTCACCCTTCACTGCCCGTCCAGAGGGGGAAAGTGAGGCACAGGGCCCTGATCGGGGCTGCGTGGGGAGTGGAGTCGGCTCCCAGGACCAGGCATAGGCACGTGAGCTGTCCCAGGCTTCGTGGCTGGTGGGCAGCTGCCTGGGAGGCACTGGGGGCCCCAGCTTCCCGCCTTTGGCTCTTATCGTCCGGTCCGGGCAAGGGGCAAGACTCCTGGAGGACTCAGCTCACGGGACCCACATGACTCATTCCGTCTGCTACACCACAGAGCTGGAAAGCTTCACCAAGTAGTTCTCTGTTCCGGGCCTGAGCCCCGAGGAGCAGGCTGAGCGCTTGGAAAGCCTCGGCCCCTCGTCCATCCCACGGGTGGCTGTGGAAAAAGCATCACCAGGGCGTCGATCTGAGAAGAAGGCAGATGTGCACAGTGTCGCAGGGAGCTTGGGACCTGGGGCCACGCGCGGTGCTTATCCGGGCCCCTCCACGTTGCTGCGGAAAGTCCCTTCACTGAGTCTCTGGGGTCAGCTCTCCGGCAGTGTCACGCTGGCGTAGACTGTGATGGACTTTGGTTCCTGAGGGCAAAACAGAAGTCTGTGGGTTCAGGCACTGGCTTCACAGGCTGCAAACGGAAACCGTGCTGCTTAGTAAAAGGAGAGGGTCTCAGGTATCAGGTGGCGGGGGGACCTGCCGGGGATGGCACTCGGGTCCCCCACTGCCAGCGTCCCCTCCGCCCCGGGGCTCCAGCTCCCTCCCGGGTGTGCGCACACAATCAACAATCACCACTGGGAAGACCAGGAGAGATGCCCCCCTTTGCTCTGTGTCCTGCCCCTGCCTTATAAGGAAAGCCATTGTCTCTGCTCTAGGTTGGACGCGGGTCACGGTTTGGGGAAGCCAAGATGTTCTGATTTACTGAGGTTTAGAAAGGGTTAATGAGACCCAAAGGGAGAAGGAAAGATTGCAGCCCACAGGAAGGGAGAGGAGACAAGGACTTGGGGCAAAGACATCTTCTAGGTCAAGTGCACTCAAGAGGCAGGGAAAGAAAGACAGGAATGGAAGAATTCGGGGGGCGGGGGTTGCTGTAAAATGTGAAATATAACAGACTGCTTCGATGAAGAAAACTTCTTTAAAAATCTGTATTCTTTCTTAAAACTTTTTAAAGCCAGATTCTTGTGTTCACTTTCCCCATTGGATAGGATAGCGTCCTCAGAATAGAGTCCCGATGCAGACGGGGCATCTTCCCCGGCATTCCGGGTGTCTGTCCGGCTGTGGGAGCTTTGGGGCAGGGGGCGAATGGAAGCATTTCTGTGGCCTTTTGATCCTCAATTGTCTCAGAAAATGCTTTATTTAATATAGAGCCCCACTAGAGCCAAGATTTCAGCCCGGAATTTCTGTCCATTTAGGAAAAAGCATAGTTCCCATCAAGCCAGTTTAATCCATGGTCATTTTGCAGTGGGGGGAGCCGGCGAGGCTCAGTCTGGGCCACACGCCACAGGGTCCTCTGGGCTCACGCCAGGCAGAGTGCCACTCTGAGACCTTCTGGTGAGATGGGACTGGATAGAGCCTCGGCCCGAGCCTTTTAACAAAGCCCCCCCTGGGATTCTGTTCTGCAGCCCGACTCCTAGATGCAAGATGCAAATCCCAAATGCCAAAGTGCTCTGGGACCACCTGGGGAGGTTGCTGTTTAATGTAGAGATGCCTGGTTACTCAGCGTGGACATTCTGATTGACCCGGTAGAAAGCCCCAGGAAAATGAATTTTTAGCAAATACATGTATGCCGATGCCGATGGGGTTCTTGGACAACCCTCAGGGAAACACTAGGGAACAGAGAGAGCTGTGTCCCCAAGTGAGCATCCAGGAGGGGTCTCCTGGAAGTCCCGCAGCCACAGAGGCTCCTGGTGACCCACGTGCCAGGGCCTGCCTTCTCCGCTTCAGGAGACGGCCTCTTCCCTCCCTGCAGAGAGGAGGCCCAGACCGGTTCCTCACCTGGACAGGCTCTGGGACAGGTTCTGTGGCAGCGACATAAATGGTGGTGCAGGGGTCCTGAGCTGACGGGGCATCAGGTTTCTTCTGAATGGACTAGAAGAGAAGCAAAGAAAGCAGGAAATCAGCCGGGCAGTGGATTCCACCAGATCCGCCCCATGGAGAAGCCCAAGGTCCAGAAGCTTGGAGCTAGAAAGCCCCTCAGAGTCCATTGGCCCAGCCACCTTCCCTGGTGGAAAGGTCCCTCCAAATTCCCTGGAATTCAGCTCTTGGGGCTTTGCTTGGACGCCCCAGGCGACACTGCAGAGCTCACAGTCTGGTGAGGCAGCCCACGTCACCATGAGCTCCTCCCAGATGTCTTAAAAGTCTTCCTCATGGTGAACTGGCATCGCCGTGGCTCCCACCAGGGCAGCTGGAGAGAACGGGGTCTTCATAAGATCTGTCTCGCTCCTGTCACCGACAGCACACAGAGCTCATCCCTTCCCACACTGCTGTTCGTCCTATTCCTTCCTCTGACACGGTTTCCCGAGACTTCTCTTTCCCATCCAAGTACTGAACTTAACAATAGGCACACATATCCAGAGGTGCCAGTTTACGAACTTTTCCGCAGATGCCACATCGGGCTCACATCCACTCTGTTAAATCTCGTAGCGACACGTCACCGATGGGGACGCTAAGGCTCAGAAAGACTTAACACTTTCCTACGTGCACGTGCAAGAGTATCAAAGCCAGGAGTCCCACAGACTTAGAGGCACGGGGGAGAAGTTAAGAAGTTCGGGAAAGGAGAGGGGCTGCCTGGGTGGCTCAGTTGGTTGAGCGTCCGACATCAGCTCAGATCATGACGTCACGGTTCGTGTGTTTGAGCCTCGCGTCAGGCTTGCTGCTGTCAGCACAGAGCCCATTTCAGACCTTTTTTTTTTTTTTAATTTTTTTTAATGTTATTCAGTTTTCAGAGACAGAGAGAAAGGGTGAGCAGGGGAGGGGCAGAGAGACACGGAAACACAGAATCCGAAGCGGGCTCCAGGCTCCGAGCTGTCGGCACAGAGCCCGACGCGGGGCTCGAACTCACGAACTGTGAGATCATGACCTGAGCTGAAGTCGGCCGCTTAACCGACTGAGCCACCCAGCCGCCCCAGATCTTCTGTTCCCCTCTCTCTGCCCCTCCCCCTCTCGTGCTCTCACTCTCAAAAATAAATAAAACATTTAAAAATTTAAGAAAAAAAGAAGATTGGGAAAAGAGAAAGGTATAAAGGAAACCATCTATAGTCTCATCACTTTGACACAACATGGCTATTAGCACGTTGCTAGATTTCCCTTCAGGATTTTAAGCTGGATTTACGGAATTATTTTAAACATAGTTGTAACGGCTTAGTGCATTTTGGTATCTTGGTGTCTTCAGTTAGGGCATGAGGCCAGGAAGCATGATCTACAAGAAACTCCAGGGGTGTTTGAGTCCAGGGGGCATGATCTCCGAGAAACTCCAGGGGTGTTATTCTCACATAGTCTTTGTGAGCAGTGTCCCCATGAGCTGTGCAAGGTAGCAGTCCTGGTAAGACCTAGAGAGTTCCCTGGCAGACAGGCATTGGAAATATGAACAAAGAAAATTGTAAACACGTAGGGAAGTGTAAATACATGTTGATGCGTAAAACAATATGTCTCTTATGTTTAAAAAGTACATGAAATTACATAATGGCCAAGGGGCACCTGGGTGGCTCCAATGGTTGAGCGCCCAGCTCTTGTGTTTGGCTCAGGTCACGGTCTCACAGGTTTGTGGGTTCGAATCCTGCATTGGGCTCAGCGCCAATAGTGCAGGATTCTCTCTTCTCCCCCCTCCCTCTGCCCCTCCCCCACTCACCCCGTCTCTCTCTCTCTCTCTCTGTCTGAAAATAAATAAACTTTTAAAAAAAATCAAAAAAGGCACATAAATCAGAAGGGGAACTTCAAACGAAGATGAAGTCTTGTCCAGGAAGAGAATAAATATTAGACTTTGGTAAGTCAAGGATGTATTTTATCATTTCTAGGGTAGCAACTAAAGAACAGAAAAAAAAAATTGCTTCATTACTAAAAGGGGAGGAGAATGGAATAATAAAAATATAATTTAAAAGAACCCTTCCTCAAAGGAACTCCTGGCTCAGAGAGCTTCACCCGGGAACCCTGCCGAAAATTTAAGGGGAACGATAATATATATCCTGCCCAAAGGAAATACACCATGTGGTGGGTTGAACTGTGACCCCCACCCCCCCACCAAAAAAGTCAAGTCCATCCAGAATCTCTAAATGTGACCTTATTTGGCATAGGGTCCTTGCAGAGGTAATTAAAGTAAGGACTTCAAACTCAGGTCAAGCTGGATTACTGGATTACTGGATTACGCTCCTCACTGGATTTAGGACCATCCTCTGAAGAGACAGGGACGGAGAAAACCCAGAGGCACAGAGAGGGAGGCAGAAATTAGAGTTCTGTAGCTACAAGCCAACCAGTGCCAAAGATGCCCAGGGTCACCAGAAGCTAGAAGAGGAAAAGCAAGTTTCAGAGGGAGCGTGGTCCCTGTCAGCACCTTCAACTTGGACTTCGGGCCTCCGCGACTGGAGAATAGCTTTTTCTGGTTTAAGCCACCAAGTCCGTAGACATTTCTTACAGCGACACTAGGAAACTAACATGCAGCTCCCACTCACAATCTTGGTGTCAAAACCTCACCAGGCAGCTACAAGAAAGGAAAATTGCAGGCCAATTCCCCTCGGAAACCTAAACAAGACACCGACAGCACCCTAAGAAAATATTAACGAAATAAAACCCAGAAGTATTTTAAAAGGAGCAGACTACATTGCTTCTATTCCGGGACTGCAAAAGTGGGATAGTCTTTACAAATCAGTGTGGCTCGTGAGATAAATAGAGTGACCCTACAACCCGGCAACTGCACTAGTAGGTATTTATCCAAAGGCTACAAAAATGCTGATTTGAAGGGGCACATGCCCCCCAATGTTTATGGCAGCGCTATCAACAATAACCAAATTGTGGAAAGAGCCCAAATGTCCCTTGACTGATGAATGGAGAAAGAAGACGTGATATATATATATATATATATATATATATATCCATGGATATA